TGTCGAATGAATAGGCGCTGGCACATAGTCTCCTTTCACTAGAACCAGTACTGCATATATACAAGGAATAAGGGCAGGTTTCAAAGCATTATCTATCTTGTATGTAGCACAAAGCAGTTTACTGAATTGGGCCAGCACCATGTTTACACGAGTTCTTCGTTGGACCCTAACTTGAGCCAGATGAACACTATCATATATTACTTCCTTAAGACTCTCTTTACATGTTTTCGCAAATATGCAGTACGCTCATTACACGTATGTCTCTCAGTGCGTCTGTAGACATGAAACAACTCGCGAAACAATGGACTGTTTTTCATGAAATTTAGTACTGGAGAATGTTCCAACTATTTGTTAGATCATGTCATTTTCTGTTTAGCTAAGACAGTTCTAGCAATAACTTTACGTTGAGCTCAACATACTTCTCTGTGTTTATTTCGATGTTGCGAAGTATTCGTCAAACAGAAAGATTCTTTATACGAAGAATAATACCGTCTTCTGGGATGTGGCCCCGTGTATATCTTGTGTAAATAAACGTTTTGGAGGAATATATCACCTCCATCTTCAGGGTATAAAAATCCGCGAGCGAAGAACCAACGCGAGCAGGTGCCTGAAGCTCGCAGATTTTTATACCCTGAAGATGGAGGCGATATGTTCCTCCAGGACGTCGGTTTACACAATATCTACACGGGGCCACATCCTACAAGACATTCTGCATAGTCACCGCCGTCAAAACCTCAGCTCTTACAGACTTTATACAAGTTGCGGTGAAAACTACAACACGTCTCATGTCCAGTACATGTTGTCCCTAAGTCCCATGGTCTTCGAGATAATTAAACAAAGTGACATCGTGCGTACATTCCCGAAATTGTGTATTCAACAGTCAACAGTGATCTCCCGAATATTTACAAGAAAATAAGTGCTTCAGTTATTTTCGGCAAAGTTCTCAATTAAGAGAAGGCACTCAGCCTAGTCTCCGTTGAAATCAGACTGGTATTTTATCTTTTAATATAGTACCCGGTTGCAGTAAGGCTTTATGACTATCTCTTGTCTATTTAATGTAGTAAGAACAGTGAACACACTCTTCGCTCGCTTGGAAACTGGGATCGTGGGTTCGAATCCCACTCAGGGCATGGATGTTTAGTTTGTGTGTGTGCGTTTTTCTGTGTTTGTGTACAGGTAGAGGCCTTGCTACGAGGTGATCACCCG